GGAACCGGGCTCCTGGCTGCGGCAGAACCCGCATCGTGCCCCCTCCTCTCCCGGCCAGTTCCACGCTGCCATCCTCGCCCTGTGCAGCAGTGTGGACGCCGAGCCTGCGGTGAGGGCGGGAGTGATGGAGATGGGCGTGCACCCCGCCCGACACTGGCCCACTGGCGCCTTGAGAGACCCGGCTGACTGAGGCCGGCTCAGCCTCTAGAATGATCACGCTCCCCAGGACACGCCACAAGGAAGCCCTGCCACCAGGCAGCTTGGCCTCAGCTGCCACCCTTAGGCAGTGGCCCTGAGGCCTCCCCCCCAGAACCTGCACCCAGAGGCCACTGTGATGATGTCAGTCGTGTGGCTGTGTCCATCCAGCCTCCCTTGGGTCCCAGAACTTCTGGTTTAGCTCTAACCCACCCAGGACCTCCTCTGCCTCGTCACCCCCATTTACAATACAGAGGCGGGGAGGGTCATCTGCCCAAAGCACAGGGCTAGTAACGCACAGCCAAGACGTGAGACACAGGTCCTCCCCCCTCACCCCAAGATTCACTGCCTGCGGGGCCCAGATAGTGGGTTCTGGGCTGGGGTCTTTAAACCTCATCTTGTCCAAGAAGGTGGTGGGCTGCCCTAGGAAGGGACCCCAGGGTGGACGGTGTGGGCTCTGGCCGCTGCCACCCACCCCCTGGCACTGCCCTGTCCCAGCCGGTTTCCAGCTATTTTGCAGGAATGTGATAACAGAACAATGGGTCTCCCTGCGGCCCTTCCCAGGTCCTGCTGGGGCCACCGGGCTCTAACCCGAGAGAGGCTGGACCCCAGGGAGGCGTGCAGAGGCTGGCGGCCCGCCAGGGACTTTCAGGGGAGGTGGGGAGGAGAACTCAGAACTTAGCTCTTTTTGGAAGTCAGGCTCCCCAGCCAGTCCCTCCACCCACGCGTAGGCGCGCCCCAGCTCGGCTCAGGATGTCCAGTCACAGCACAGTTAATGTGGCCTGGATTTCAGCCCTGCCAGTTGCCTCAGGTGACATTTTGGCCTTAGTTTCTTCATCTGTAAAATAGGGGACATCCCGCAGGGTTGTGGTGGGGGCTTCGGGGAATTCCTGGTCTGGACAGTGCTTGTCCCCTGCCTCCGGCCCCAGGGCGGATGCCCCTGGGGGTGGCTGTCCTTGCCAGATGGGGAGGGACAGGTGTGCTGTTCCTCCAGCAGAGGGTCTTGTTTGGAAAGGAAGTGGTTCTTGGCTGTGACACTCAGCAGCAGTGACTCCCCTTGAATCATGGGGTGGCTCAGAAGCTGGTGGGTGTTCTGGGCCCCAGGCCCCTTCCCCCTCCCCCTGCCAGGTTCCAAGATAGGGACAGCACTGCGGTCCATCTGTTTCTATGGAAACCAGGCTTCCTGGAGAGGCTCCAGGGGTTGGGAGAGGTCCTCCAGGACCAGCAGAAGGATGCACCAGCCAGGCTGCTCTGGGGCAGGGTAGGGGCAGGGCAGCTGCCCCGAGATCTCACAGATGGCTGCCCTTTACCCAGCTCAGGTGGGGTGTCGGGCCCTCGCTGTCTTTTCTGGGTGCCTCGTCACAACCCAGGAAGCTAAGTAGTGTGTGGTTTTGTAGGGGAGGAAATAGAAGCTTGGTGAGGTTAAGAAACTTTTCTGAGGTCACAGCATAATTAAGATAAAGCACCAAGGTTCCGAGCCCATGTTTACCAATCATTAAGTACCCGCACCCCCCATTCTGTCATCTCCTGAGCCCTCTCTTCCTGCCTGGTTCAGTCTGGTGGGGGGAGGGCTTTGCTTGGCCTCAGATGTCCCAGGACACGAGGAAGGGGCGGGGCGGAGTGGAGGCCATGGGCTGCAAGGAGTGAGACCTTGGGGGGGGGTGCTCTCAGCCCCTCCCCTACTCACTAATGTGTCACAGATATTTGTTGAGCTCATGTCCCAGGAACTGTCCAGGCCCTGTTGACACCCCACCCCTTGGCACTCCCCTCTAGTGCTGCTAGGGCTTTCTGAGGCAGGGGGGGTGAGTTTTCACCCTGAATTCTTACCCAGTCCTCTAACGCCGCCATGTCCTGGGCACCCCATATACCAGGCCCTCTGCCGAGAGTGCACCCTCTCCTGGAGTCTTCAGCACCCCGTGAACCCCTTGCCCAAGGCCACCTGCCCATCAGCCCAGGAGCCAGAGTCCAGATTCAAACCCAGCCCTGCCTGACTGCAAAGCCCCTTTTCTGCCCTCCTCTGCCAGCAGCTCATGTATGGCCTGGGGCAGCCCCTGTCCTCTCCGGGCCTCAGCTTTCTGCCCTGTGTGTTTGGAGCAGAGCCTGCCCTTGGACCCTGCCACGTGGAACTGAGTGTGTGCCCGAGTGTTCTGGGTGGGTAGTGAGACCTGCTTCCCTTAGCCTGTCTCATTCATCTGTGCTGACAAAGTGCCTACTGTGTGCCAGGGCCCAGCAGGGAAACTCTCAGATGGGCACAGTACCAGCCCTGCCTTCAGGTCACTAAGTCTCTGGGAGGCCAGCTGCCCGGGACGGGACTGGGAGTGTGGGCGGAAAGCGGCAGTGGCCACCTGCCCGAAACCCACGAGTCGCAGGAGCAGGTGATGCCCTGGGAAGACTCCTGGACGAGGGCCATGCAGAGGCTTGAAGAACAAGGGACATGGGAGTGGGGTAAGGGTCAGAGGGCAGGGAGGGTTTCCTGGCTGGGCAGTTGTTTGGAAATGGAAACAACTATTAAAAGGACAGTGACTTGCCAGCTTTATCAAGAATCGGGGTCAAAGAAGCTGGTGAGGGACGGAAGGCAGAGGGTATGAACCGGAGTCTGGGGGGCTGCTGCGTGCTGCATTCTCCCCTCCTGCTCAGCAGGTCCCCCCCGGGAGCGTGTAGGTGGACAGGCAGCCCTCCTCACCTTCGCTCCTGGCCAGGCGGGGGAGGAGGTGGCTGGGGAAGCCCTGGAGCCCTTCACGTGGCATCCAGATCTGGGAAAGGACGCGTGACAGCCCCGTGGGGCAGGCATTTTCCACTCTGCACGGCTGAATGAAGCAGGAAAGGGAGGTAGAGGGAGCGTGGGCCGGGCACTCCCTCCTCATCCTCCGTATCTGGGCAGGGTGGCGTCCTCCGTGCTCCCATTCCTCAGGAGCAGAAACTGAGGCTGGGGGACTTGCCCAAAGCCCTGCAGCTGGTAAAAGAGCAGAACCAGATTCAAACCCAGGTCTGGCTGCCCCCAAGCCAGTGTCCAGCCAGAGTGCAGGGAGAGGAATGGAGGGAGGTAAGCTCTGTCCTCTCTTAGGTTAAAATGGGGCCAAGCCTAAAGGAAGCACATAGAGTGGCCTTGAAGGAAGTTCAAGGGCAGATCTGAGGCGTGGGTGGAGCGTTTGGTTTGCCTTCAGAGTGGGGCATGTTTACAGGCTGGTGGGTGTGTGGGAGTGTTTGCAGCTGCCCACCTGCGCTCCGGGTGAGGAAGGGACAGAACTCAGTGCTCCGGCAGTTAACTGCAGAGGCAGGTGCAAGGGATCCACTTCCTGGAGATCAGGTTCAGGATTTCATTCTCCCCAGGAGGCCTCAGGGCCCTTTGTTTGGGGGGAGCTTGGTGCTGGGGCTGGGCTGGGGGCAGTGCTAGTGGGTTCCACCAGCCCAGGACCTGATGGCAGTGCCTACGGGTAAAGCTGGTCTCTCCTGTGGATGACGCCAGTGCCAGGTGGAGCCCCTTTCTGTCTCCAGCCCCAGCAGGCTGGCACCGCTGCACCGCACAGCCTTCAGTTTTTGGTTCGGCCTCGTGCTGCAGAGGGGACCTGGGTGTTGAGAGGTCACTGGGCAGAGGAAGGCAGCTGACCCCCTGAGCGGAGGTCACGAACACAGCCCAGGCTTTGTGGGCTCTGGCTTGAGAGGCAGTTCCTGCCGTGGGACTGAGGGCCAGGGGCTCTGCCAATGGGGTGGAGATATTAGGAAATGCTAGGTAGGTCCTTATCCTGGTTTGTCTTGGCTTCCTTCCCAGAGCCGCTGCTGCATGGGGGGCGCCGGGGGAGGGGGCGGTGGGGCATCTCTACGGAGCCGTTTCCAGGGCCCAGCACACTGGCCTGTGTGCTTCACAGCTGTGTCTCCTGGTCTCTCGGCACCCCTTTAAGGTAGGACCTTTTATTTTCCCCTGCTACTGATGGGGAGACTGAGGCACAGAGAGAATGAGGGGCTTGCTCTTGGGCACGCAGCTAAGAAGTGGTGGGTCCAGAGTTTAAACTCCAGGTGTGACTTCAGCAGTCGAGCTCTTAACCAGCAGCTCGCGGTAGCAGTCTGCGGGCACCTGACAGCGAACTTCCTGTCTGTGTGTTTCTCCTTCACCCAGCCTTGGGGAAGAGTTAAGGGTTCCCACTTCACAGATGAAAACTCTGGGGCTCGGAGGGGAAGCGACTTGCTCTGCTGGATGGCTGACAGATCAGCACTCCTGCCCCTGTCCCCCCACTTAGGCTGTGAGGTAGTTCAGGGCAGGGCCCCCTCCCACCCCTAAGCCTAGCTCAGGGCTCATCCTCATGCATATGGTTTCTTCATTCAAGTTGGCAGGCTTGGCACTGAGCGCCCTGCCCCAGCTTCTCTTTGACCCTAAATCTCGAGGAGGTGGGAAGTGCAGCTCCCTTTCACAGGTGGGGAAAACTGAGGCTCTGGGAGGGAGGGCTAAAAAGCCAGGGGGCTGTTGGAAGACTGACCGTGCCTGGTGCTGGAGAGGATGCAGAGCCGTGGAATGCGCGTGCACGGTCTGGGAATGCGCGTGGGCCGCCGCTGTGGGGCAGTTTGGCACTTGGTCCTGCGGTGCAGCGTGGAGTCCCCAAGTAACTCGGTATCACCCCACTCCTGGGTATTTGCCTCAGAGAAAGGAAAACTTGGGGCTGCAGAAAATCCTCTGTGTGGATGTTCATAGCATTTTGTTCACAGCCATCAAAGTCTGGAATCAAACCAGTGTTCCTCCGCCGGTGACTGCATGATGACACCGGTGTCTCTGTCCCCTGCAGCACTGCTGTGCCGTGGCTCTCGGGCCCACCTGGCCGCTGGGGGGATGCCAGTCTGATTACAGCTTCTGGCTGATTTCAGCTGATTACGAAGGAAGGTGGCGGCAAGTGGCTGAGGTGTCTCGACAGCCCCTAGGTCCTCGAGGAGCAGTCAGATTGAACTGTGGTTGTCACAGTGGGGCTGGCCGCCTCCCCACCAGCCACCTCCCATGCCCCCGGGTGGTGGGGGAGGGGAAAGCAAAGGCGCTTCATTTGAGTGACAGGGCTCTGGAGCTCAGGACGGCCAACGGCCGGACTCAAATGCACTGAAGACCTCCGTCCTGCTTTTGCTTGCTGCCTGCCCGGGGTCTGCGAGTCTGGAGCCTCACGATCCGAACACCCCATAGTGAGACTCTGCTCTGACATTTCGCTTTATGACCCCGGGGGGTGCCGGGAGACCAGAGGGGACCTGGGGACCTTTATTTCTGTGCTTTGACTTGGGCAGCCCTGGAGAGGGAGACTCGCTACACGGCACTGAGACCCGGGTTGGAGGCCTGGGCAGGGAGGTCTGCCCAGTCCCCTCAGGTTCCTGCCTGAGGGCAGATGACCTCTGAGCCTGTCTACAAATGAGTGGGGGTGCTTTCCTGCCTTCCCAGAGGGCGGCCACAGTGGGAACTAGACGGTGGAATACGGGGCACCCACTGCTGGTGATGCCGTTATCAACCCACTGAGCCTCATTGAACTTGGCTTCCTCATATGAGAAATGGGTATGAACAGCACCCGTCTTGCAGGGCAGAGCGACCCTGGTTAGCGGGGCCTACTGCCACCCTGGGGCCAGCTTCTGGAAGTCTCTGCTTCGTCATGGCTTACGCCCCTGTCTCTTCTGCACAGGTTTTGTGCTGACTGAAGGCAAGACCTGACATTCAGCTCCTCTCTGCATCCCCACTGCCCATCACCGTGCCTGACACACAGTAGGTGCTTGAGCCCTGGCTCGAGGTGGAGCTGCGGGATGGCCAGGGCTGGGGGCTGTGGAGAGTCGTGGGCAGACATGGGGTAGGGTAGGCTGGTGGTGGCTGCCGAGGGCAGGGAGGGGACGGACAGGGACTGTCCGAAGCCCTGCCCACACCCCTGGCCATCCTTCCTCCGGCTCAGCAGGCCCCAGTGGTCAGCCCCTTCCCCTTCCTTCTGTCCTGGTGGGTTTGAAGGGGGCTGCCAGGGCATATGGGGGCGGGGAGCAGGGCTTTTGGGGCCTCAGGGATTGTCTAGGCAGAAGTTGAGGGGAGAGCCTGGTGCCCCGGCTCTGGAACCCTGGCTTGGACTCGCCCATCCTTCAAAACCTCATTTGCCTGCTGACCTTGAGCCCCCGCTTACTCCACCCCCCAGTAACCTCTGAGTGTGGTCTCAGTCCAGTGCTCCCCGGGCCCTGTCCTCCAGGCCGTCTGCCAGGCTCCACTGGCCCAGCCTGGTCACCGGATGCACCAAGTCCACTCAGGCCAGACGGGCTGGCTGGGCTGGAGGGGCCTCAGGAGTGCCTGCACCCGAGTGTGCTGCAAATGAGGAAGCTGAGGTCAGAAGGGCAGTGACCGCCCTATTTCATCGCTGCCGGGTGGCTAGGAGCTGGGTACTGAGCCTGGGCCTCCGACTCCTTGTCCCATGACCTGCCTGCTGCCCCAGGTGGAGGGGCTGGCCACCCTCAGAGGCCTGGAAGCTGAATGGAGCCCATGACCCGACGCCCTGTCTCCCTACAGCCCTTCCGAGGAGGAGGAGGCGGCCCGGCTCCAGGACAGGATGGCGGCCAAGCAGCCCCCGCCTCTCATGAAGAAGCACAGCCAGACGGACCTCGTGAGCCGCCTGAAGACCCGAAAGATCCTCGGCGTGGGCGGGGAGGATGACGATGGGGAGGTGCACCGCTCCAAGGTGCGCTGGTCGGGGGAGCAGGTCTGGCCGTCTGTTTGGGGGAAGAGGAGCTGAGACGCACATAGCTGCAGGGGCTCCAGGACTTAGCTCGGGTTTCTAGAAACTTAAGGGAGATGTCAGGGGAATAAAAACAAAAGTGAAAACATCATTAGAAGGAACTGAGCGCTTACGAAGTGCCTGTTATCATAACTCTGTTTTGGAAGCATTATTTAATCTTGCTAGCCCTGGAAGATGCAGATACAGTTTTCAACCCATTCCACAGATGAGGAAACTCGTCTGAGTCTAGACGAGGCTCAGAGAGGTTAGGTGACTTGCCAAAGGCCACACCACGAAGTGGCAGGGCCAGGCTGCCAGCCCACATCTGGCGGACCCCTGGGCTTCCATCCTCGGCCACCGTATTGTCAACTTTTCTTAAGCCCTGGTGTCAGGGAGGCAGTGAGGGGTGGCCTCCGTGCAACCCCTCCAGCCTGGGTGGCCATTTGGCTAAGCAGAGGTACCCGGGGGCTGCTGGAGCAGACCAGCCGTAGGCCCAGGGTCCAGGCGGTTAAGCCGGCTGGGTGTGCCGGGTGCTGCTGCACCATCATTGCCTATGACCCTTTTGTGTCTGCAGATCAGCCAGGTCTTGGGCAATGAAATCAAGTTCACTGTTCGGGAGCCTCTGGGACTGAGGTGAGCATTATGCGTGAGTGCTGGCGGGGAGCGGGGGTCCGGGGAGGGAGTGCGTCAGGCCCTGCTTCTGGTCTTGCCTTGGACTCCAACCCATCTCGTTCCCCATGCCCCGCCCCCCGCGAACCGACTCCCTCTGGGCATCTTGGCCGGAGAGGGAAGGACCTCCTGGGGACTGGGGGTAGCAGCCAGGGGCCTGGCTGTGACCGTCCCGCTGCTGCCTCCCCAGGGTCTGGCAGTTCGTTTCAGCTGTGCTCTTCTCCGGCATCGCCATCATGGTGAGCCCCTGCCCTGCCCCCGGGAACCCCAGGCCTGCTTCTAGGAGCTTCTGTCCTGCCCAGGGTCCCTGCTGCCTCTCCCAAACAGCATGGCCGTTACGCTGAGGCCCCATCTGTCAAGGCTCGCTGGCCGCCACCACGTCCTGGCTCCTGACCCTCATCCCACCTGTGCCCTGGCCCACCCTGGGCCCCCTGGCCGTGGTCCTGATTCCTTGCCCCTGGCAACCCCAGCACCTTCTGTCTTGCCATGGAGGGTGGGGGTCAGTCAAGGGACCCTGGACCTGTTCCTGGGGGAAGATGTCCAGGGGTTTTCACAGTGACCCCCCCACCCTAAGCCTCCTGCCGTCCCCAGGCCCTTGCCTTCCCTGACCAGCTCTATGATGCAGTCTTTGATGGAGCCCAGGTGACCAGCAAGACCCCCATCCGCCTCTACGGGGGTGCCCTCCTCAGTGAGTATTGTTGGGGAGGTCTCTGGGGGACCAACTGGGGTTGAGGGGAACATGGGGTACCTTCCTCTGTGCCTGGGCTCCCGGCCCCAGATAACCCCCTTCAGCTGTCTGTCTCTGCTGGGTGCATGCTGCCATCTTGTGGCCTCTGGTAGAATGCACCCAGTGGATTAGAGCTTTGTCTGGGCCGCCCTCTGGGGCAAGCGCTTAACTGAGCGCTTGCTGGGCAAAGTGCACCACTGGGCACTGGTGTGCAGGGACGAATGAGGCCAAGGCCCTGCTCCCAGAGCCTCACGGACTAGAGCAGCAGGCAGAGTCAACACCGTGCCTGCAAAACCCTTCTCACACTTGGGCCTCTCATTTGAACAACGTCTGTTTCCTCTTCCGTCTGAGTCACACACAATGCGCCTGTTAGGAAGCTGAGTGACAGCTGTAAAAACCTAGTATAGATGGTGTTCCTCTTCTTCTCCAAAATATTCTGTGGCTCCCCATTGCCTTCAGATTAGAGTCCCAGTGCTACCGCCTGGCATTCAGGGTCATTGTGGGGGTGGACCCAGGCGGCCTTCCCAAACCTACCTCCCCCACGTGCAGCCACACCCCTTGACGCCCCACCCTCCTTTCAGGTCCCCCAGCCTTCACACAGGCAGTTGCCCCAGTCCTGTGCTGTGTGCACGTCCACTCGACCTTCACGGTTCCAGCTCCAGTACCTCTGGGCAGGGGGTGGTAGAGGTTGGCACGAGTTCAAGCACTTCACCCGCACAGCTGGGGAACTAAGGTTATGGGGTTAGGTTTGTTGAAATAAAGTGAGTACGTATCTGGTGTTCAGAGCCAGCAGAGCCTGGGTGAGCTTGGCCTGGTAGAGGCTAGGTATGGTCCGCCCACCTCCCCCTGGAAAATTCCTTAGCGAGATTCCTCTGTAGGCTCAGGTGTGCACTTGAAAAGAAAGTGTGATCGGAGGACCAGGTGAGCCATTCACTCATTCACTCCCCTCCACCCAGAATCAGAACAGCCCGATAAGGGCAGGGTACCTGGGGCCCAGGTCTCCCATTTTACAGGTGAAAACACAGAGTCCCACTGAGGGGCTGTGACTTGCCCGGTGTCCCACCGTGTGGAGGACATTGCATGAATGGGAACGAACTTACTGGCTGACACAGCAGAGCTGAGCCTGGAGGGAATGGGATGGGGAGGGACAGGGGAGTTTTAGGTGGAGGAAACGCATGGGGCAGATGTCGATGTACAGGGCCCAGCTCCCTTGCCGTGTAGGGCCAGGCCTCTCGCCCGTCCCAAAGGGGTGGGTGGGTCAGGCTGTCCTGCCCCCAACTCCTCTCTGTCCCCACCCAGGCATCTCCCTGATCATGTGGAATGCCCTCTACACGGCTGAGAAGGTCATCATCCGGTGGACTCTGCTCACCGAAGCCTGTTACTTCGGGGTCCAGTTCCTGGGTGAGTCCTGAGGTGGGCAGTGAGGGGAGGCGGAATGTGGGCTGCAGGCAGGGCGTCTATGCCCTTGCCTTCGGCTCCTGCTACGTGGGTCTCTAGGAGGTGATGGGAACCTGTCTGAGGGCGAGGGACCCATGTGGCTGTGTTAACCCGTGTCTGCACACCTGTGCTCACACACCTGCCACCTGGGCCTTCTGAACACACACATGGGCATTTCCACAGCCTCCCCTGCCACGCACACCTGCAGTCTCCCACACCCCTGCACAGGCGTGACAGCACACGCCGATGATGCCCACCTGCTCGCCCCGTGCGGGGACGTCAGCACAGAGGCATTTGTGGGGTCAGGTGGCTGGCAGGACTGTAGGGCTCCTGGGTCAGCGGGCTGTCCTGGGGCGGGGCAAGGGCGCCTCCCTGTGCTGACCCCTGACCCTTCCTGGCTTTTCCCCCACAGTGGTCACTGCCACGCTGGCTGAGACGGGCCTCGTGTCCCTGGGGATTCTGCTGCTCCTGGCCAGCCGCCTCCTTTTCGTTGCCATCAGCGTTTACTACTATTACCAAGTTGGCCGAAAACCCAAGAAAGTCTAGCTGACCGCTGGGCCGGGCTCCAGGGCAGGGCAGCCCTGGGCCTCGGTTTCCCTTCGGTTCGTGGAAGGCAGGACGGACCCTGCCCTGCCCAGGCAGACAGGAGTGGCCGCCGTCCCTTCTTCCTAGGCCCTCCCCGAGTGCCGTGATCTGGGTCTTCAGGTTTGGGGAAGCACAGGGCCTCTGCAGCCCTGCTCCTTGCCCCACATGGTGATGCCTCCTTTTCTGGGGCCTCTTGGCCTGTGGGTCCCCTGGATAGAGACCGACAGAAGGAGCCTGCATCAGGGCTGAGGCGAGGCCCGGAGGCCCTTCTGTCTTCTGACAGAGGCTACTGGCTGCCTTCTTGTCCTTCCCTCGCACCTGCAGCCAATCTAGTGCCCAAGCAGCTGAACTTGGCTTCTATGCCTGGAAAACCCGAGAACTTGACCTTGTGTCCCTATCCTTGTTGTGGGCCCTTCGCACATGTGGGGGCCCCTCTCCACCTCCAGACTCCCACCCCTGCCCTCCCCGCAGCCCAGCCGCAGGCCGATGGGTGGAGGTGGCTGTCTCTGAGCTGGCCCTTGCCCTTCAGCCCTCCTGTGAGGTGGGCCACGTGCAGCAGAGCCCTGTCCTGGTCACCAGGAGCTCTGCCTTCACCCCACCTCCTGGGGGCCCCTAGGAGCCCCCTTCCCCCAACTAGCCTGGGTTCAGAGGCTTCCAGTGGCCTCCCCCACAAGCCGGCCCTGCCATGGACACAGGGAACCCCAGATGGAGGCCACCTGTGAGGGACGGGGTTTGGAGATGAGGAAGGAAGGAAAGCAGTGGCATTTCTCTGTCCCTTGGCCATGCTCTTTAGGGTCTGATGCTCACCTGGCTTAGCCCCTCACCTGCCCTTGCCTCCTCCCCAGGGCGCCGCTCCCAGGGTCTGGCGGGATAGGACTGGGTGCCCTTCAAACTCAGCAGGGGAAATAAGTATTTCAGGAGGCCACCTCCTCTCAGGCCCCCTCCCCGCAACCCTGACACCCTGGAGAGGGCTGACATCTGGCTCCCTTGGAGCCGAAGACCCCTGCAGACCCAGTGACCTGTGTGTGCCCAGTACCCCCTCCCCTCCATGCTCACCTTCCCTTCCAAGAGACAAGTGTAGTCACCTCGAATGGCAGCCCCGTGTCCTGGGGACAGGCGTGGAGAGAAGCAGCCCAGGCCCCAGGCTCGCTCTCTTGGAACAGAGTGTGTTTGGGGTCGAGGTGGATGGTCCTTTAGTGCAGCCCAGCTCTGGCCACTGCCAGCTGGGCCCGGAACCTCGCCCTGCCCTGCCCTCCCCATGCCTGGCTGTCCCCACAGCCACATGCCCAGTGTCCAGCACAGCTGAGAGAGGCCCAGCGGGTCAGGGACTTAACTAAGGCTATGCTGCTGGTGGCCATGGCCGAGCAAAGGGGGACCTTGACACTGGGGACGGGCCTGCTCTTTTCTGGCACCCCTCTCTTGCCACTGAAGTTTGTGCCTGTCCCCAGGAAGAGCGCTGGGCAGGTCGGGAGCCCCCTGCTGACTTGGGGAAGTATTGGTGGCTGTTGGGCAATGCCTCCATGACCAAGGCCATGTCCTCTGTCTGACCTGTGACCCTTAAAGCCTGGCTGGTCCCCCCATGGGTGATGGATGGTCTGTCCTGATAGCAGCTGGGTATGGCCGGTAGACACCTCCTCAGGTGGGCAGGGAAGGGCAGACGCGGTCCATGTGGGGCCCCTGCTGGGCCAAGCTGGCCAAGCCGCTTCACTCAGCCGGGTGCAGGGAGGGCCTGCGGGGATGGTGCTGCCTGGGCTGTGGCGCCGGGCGGCGTTCACGGGGTTCGGTGATGCCTGGTTAAACGTCCCACGGAGGTGCGGGCGGGGGGTGTCAAGGAGGAGTCTTTTGAGGGCGAGACAGTGACGAAGGCCCAGAGTGGGCCCAGCTGCAACCCTAAAGGTTTGGGAAGACCCTAAACACCCCTTCCCTGTTTCCCCAGGCCCTTGGCCACCAGAGCCCAGTACCCTCTTGACCAAGCTCCTGCCCCCGCCCACCCCGCCCCCAAATCCAAGACCACTTTTTGTCATGGCCACTATTTATTCTTCATTCCTTTTTCTTTTTGTAAGAAACAGTCACAAAAGCCAGTGCAAAACCATCAGTGTGGGTGTCCTGTTTTATATTACAAAAACTCTCGATATATAATATCAAAAGGGGGCTCACGGGAAATAAACATGATAAATTACCTCTGCTATCTACTGCAAGGAACATTTACAATTTTCAAAATAGACTTTCGACGTAGGGCCCATGGGGTGGGGGGAAGAGGGCTTCTTAGGGTGCCGGGGCCTCAGCTAGTTTGGGGAACCCTGCCTGGGCCCCTTAGGCGTGGGTAGGAGAGGGGCAAGGGGGCCTGGGGACGGGCCCCACCCCCCAAGATGGTCCCCCCTTCCCAGAGGCACTGCGTTCTGGAGCAGGGAGGAAGAGGGTGGGCACCCAACTCAGTGTGAGGCCTTGCCTGGCCCTTGCCTCACTGTCGGGTCCTGAGCCTGCAGAGGTGTTCCTACCCACCCCACCTTAGCCAACAACTGCCCCCGGCACCTGTCCTGCGTGGGCTCTACCTGGACCAGCCTAGCCGGGCTCAAGCCCGACAGGCTCCTTAGATCAGGGCAGGGCTCTCCTCTTCCATGTTCCTGTGCCTCAGAATGGCCACCCACCAGTGGCACTGCAAATGCTGTCTGCTGGGCAGGTGCCCTGCTCCCCCTTTCCAGCCTGAGAGAGGGACTGGGGGGGGGGGGGCAGCAGGGCCAGCCTCTGCCTTCCTTGGCACCTGTCTGGAAAACTCTGAGAGTCTCACGTCCACCCTGTGAGACCCTCAGCTGAATGGTTCTCCGTGACCTTGAGCTCCTAAGGGGCCCAGGGCAGGTGGAGGGGAAGAGGCTGGAGGGGCAGTGGGGCCACTTCTTCCCTCCAAGATCCCACATTCTCCGGGGCCACCTCTGGACTCGAGCCACACAGCTGCCCAGTTTGATCTCTTTTTTTTTTTGTCAACCTCAAACCAGCCATTTGGCTTTTCCAGGAAGATGGTGGATCTCGAACCGCAGGCCCCAGGCCCTTCTCAGGCTAGGCTGGGGTACCCGCTGTGGGGCCCCCTGACCCCAGGGTGCCTAGTTTCTAGGGAGCTTGTGGCATCATGGAATTGCCGGGGCAGGCCGTTCCAGGGACAATCTGGAAAGACCCAGTTGGGAACAGAGGTAGTGGGGAGGGAGGAAGGGAGAGGCGGGAGGTCTAACCCAATCTCAGAAGTGGGCTGGTGGCGGAGCAGCAGTGCACTGGGCCCTGGGCCAAAGCTCTCTCCCCCAGTGGCTGGACGGCAGGAGTGGGGACTGGAAGCTGGCACAGGGCCTTGCCCCAGACCCTGAAGAGAGACGGTGGAGAGGAGGACAGGCACCGCAGCACCCCTCCCACGCCCGTGGCAGACAGCTCTGGTCAAGCTTCAGGTGCCTGGCGGACATCACGAGCTGGGATTACACTGCCCCTCCCTCCGGGCCCTGCACAAACCTCGGATCCTCTGCACAGACCCCACCGGCCGCTCCCCGCTGGTCGGGGTGGAGGCCTCTTGTGATCCAGGTGCCGACACTGGTCTAGAGTTCGAGGCCTGTGTGACGAGGGCTGATCTGTGGGCACTGTGCGGGCGTCAGTGAGTCTGTGGGGGAACTCAGAGCCTGCAGGGGCCTCAGAAACGTGCTTTGGGCAGTGATGGGACGGGAAGCCATGTCACGGCAGGAATGGTGAGATGCCTTGAAGTTCCTTAGCCTGGAGACAGTGGGGACCAGGGGACACGTGTGGCCTCTAACACTTGGGGAGCAAGGGCTCTGCCTGGGACGGCACTGCAGAAAAACAGAAGTCTCTTCGTATTGAGCTGATGCTCAAGGCAGCAAACCAAAGGCAGATGCTGTTCTGGGAGGTAGTAAACTCCCCGTCCCTGGAGGTGTGCAAGAAGAGGGTGCAGATGTCTCGGCAGGGATCTTACAGAAGATACCCAGGCTGTGGGTCTGGGTGAGGAGAGAACCAGGTGATCTCAGGGGACTCCTTCCAGCCCTAGGTGCCCCGGGGTTGGTGCAGAACGGGAGGGGGGCTTACAAGGAGAGACAGGCAGCTTGGAAAAGGGGCTCTGGTGTGTGTACATGTGTGTTCCTGGTGGCTGAGAAGTTGAGGAGGTGGGAGGGAGGGTGGGGGGGACAGTCCGGGTTTTCTTAGCTGTCGAACTGGGAAGAGACCAGCCCTGGCCAGTCTGCCCCGTCTCTCCCGGGGAGACCACGGAGCTGAGGCCAGCGAATGGTGTGAGCAGCAGGCCTGCTGGGCCGAGTGACAGGCAGCCCGGAGACCACCCAGTGCTGGTTCGGAGTGTCACGCGTGTGCGGTGTGAGTGCGGGTGAGACTCTGGGCCTTCCCGATTATCTGGTCCGACAGCAGGGAAAGCAAAGACCCCACCGGCTGGGCTGTTCTTGGGTCCCTTGTCCGCAGCCCACCCTCGGCCTGAGCAGGAGCAGGGACAGCTCCATCGGCCAGAGGACCGAGGATTGCGAGTAGGTTCTGAGTTCAAGGACATGGTGACCGAGGCTCCTTGGGGCCCCTGGACTGTGGGGACCTTGCTCTGAGATTTGCTTTTGCCTCCTTGTTGCCTAAATCCTCGGTTTCTTGGCACCAGGTTCCGAAGCTGTGAGGAGGCGACCCAGGCCGAGGGCTGCCAGAGTCCCGCTGGGCCGAGGAGGGGACCCGGCACTGGTGCTGCTTTGGTCTCTGGTGCAGACCGCCTCCTGGGCGCAGAGGGCCCACGGCCCCGACCCCCGAATCCAGGTGGGGTACATCAGTTCATATTTTTGTCATTTTGTTTTGTTAAAAAAATAGCTATTTCCCCCGCCCCTTCTCCTGGCCACTCACGGTGGCCTCACCTCCTCCCCAGGGACCAAGGGGGAGCGGTGCGGGGGAGGGGAGGGCACTGGGTGCAGGGCGGTTGGTGGGCAGGCCGAGTCTTCAGGCTTCACGCCCTCTACTGGATGCCTCGGAAGAGGCACATGGCGAAGATCATGGCGAAGAGCTGCACAGAAAGTAGCAGTTGGCTAGTTAGGCTGGACCCGCAGCCCCCTAAGGGGCCGCTCGCCCTGAAGCAGGAGTGGGGCTGCCCCATCGCTCTCAGCACACTCCCGCCTCAGGGATTCCCGACTCTCCCCAGCCTCGGGTCTCCTTCGTGCCTTGCAACCAGGGAGAGAAGGGGACCTTGGAAACCGAGACGGGAGTTTAAATCCAGGTTCCTTACTCGCCAGCAGCAACCTCGTGCTGAACACTTCCCTTCTCTGGGCCAGAGTGTGTCTCCAGAGCTCACTGCAGGCCAGGCACAGTTCTGAGTGCTTGCTCAGAAGCCTCACAGACCAAGGGGCGAGGCACAGAGAGGTCGTGTAACCTGCCTAAGGTCACACAGGTGCAAGTAGGGGAGCTAGGGTTGAGCTCAGGCATCCTGACCCCAGAGCCCAGGCTCCTAACTCACACTCTCCCACTTCGGGAAAGTCGTGAGATCAAGGCGTAAGGCGATCATCTAGCCATGTGCCTGTTCTGTAGCAGATGCTCGGTGACAAGTCCCCAGGGTTGTTACTGATGGGCAGGCAGGGAAGACAGAGCTCTTCCCGGAGCAGGACCAAAGGCCATGAGGGCTGGGGGCGGGCACAGAGGGCTCGGCCACGCCCCTCTACCCAGGCCGGCTGTCACCCCCATGGCCAGAGCTCTTCTTGCAGGCAGTCCAAGGAGCAGTCCCCAGACCAGAGGCTCACGGACAGACCTCTAGGAGGGACAGTGGCTGGGGACCACGGTAGAGGTCCTGGTCAGGGCCTGGACATTCTTCCCGCTCCGCACAGGTGCCTGCGGCCTCCCTGAGCCCAGTGCAGGTGTATCTGTTTCTCGTTCACTGTCACCTCCCCTGAGAGGACAGGGTCACCTCGAACAGTGCTGGCACCCAGTAGGGGCTCAATCTGTGTTTGGGGAGTAACTGAAGGAGTGAATGAATAAATGGCCCCCCTCCCCCATCCCCAACGGTCTCCACAAACTGCCCTAAGCGGGGCTGCCCGGCTCGGCAGGAAGCTGAGCGAGGCCACACTAGTTGTGGTGTCAGGTGGGCGGCAGCTCTGCAAGGTCGGAGGGGGGCCGCCGCGTCACTCCCCTGAGGGCCGGAGGTGGCTGGGTGTGGGCGACGCTGCCTGGCTAACCCCTGGGCAGCGGGGTTGAGATGGGGAGAGATAAAGGGGTGCAGCTCCTCCCTGTGGCTGAAGCGCCCCGTGTTGGTGTCTGCAAGGGTCTGCAGCTGCCTTCCTTGTGAGCCAGGGGAACCACCAGGTAAAAGGGGCTAGGAAAGCCCTCGTGAGGCCGCACAGACCCTCGAACATCCACAGGGGAAGGGCCTGGGCCGGAAGCACAGCTGTTCTGATCCTTTAAGTTCACTGTAGACCTTGGGTGGCGGTGGGGTACCGGGGAAATGCGGAATGGGGGTGCGGGAGGAGTGGAGGTGGCAGTGGGAGGAAGACGGGGGAGCGGCTGTCACGACCCTCCTGTCCCCTCCCCAGTGCCCGGACACTGGCTCACACAAGTCTAGAGCCCAGTGACCCAAGCAGACAGACTCAGCCGGGCTTGCCACCCCAGAGTGTCCGTGGTGGGGGACCCACGGGTCCCGAGTTAAGGACGTGAAGATGGAAGTGAGTCAGGGATCGTAGGCCGTGGGGGGCCGCCCCAGACCCTGCGTGTGTCCCTGTGTGTGGCTCCGAGAAGGAGCCGCAGAGGTGGGGTGTCCACTCACCTCGACGGCCAGCACCCCTATGGCCAGCGCTCCAGCCAGGTAGACGTAGGTTTCGAAGGCGTTGAGGATCACCGTGTAGCAGCCCTGCGGGGAAGGACAAGGTGAAGCCACAGACCGAGGGGAAGTCTGGGGTCCGGGGTCGGGGTGTGGAAGCTGGGGACTGGCACGAGGCCCTGGGCACAGGCAGCACGGTTGGCACAGAGCAGGGCTCCGCCCCATGGGGCTGGCCGCCCTCCCCGAGCCCACCCTGGCGGCCGGAAAGTGTCTGAGTGCGGAGTCGCCCTGGGGGTTTGGCCCCAGTGTTTCCGGGTCTCTCTCCCCACACACAACCACCCACGAGGGACAGGAGAAGCCGTAAATTCTTCCTAAGTGTGAAGTTGACTTTAATGTGCCTCTCCCAGGGCCCCTTGTCCAGCAGAGAGAAGACATGCCCATGCCCCCCTCTGCTGAGGGCGGTGTGCGGGGGCCTTAACTGCTCGCCTTCCCTCTATCTGGCTCTGGCACCCGAGACCCTTTGGGTCCCCGGATTGGACCAAGCTGACTGAGCTGGCCAGTGGAGGCCTGAGACAGAGAACCCTCGGGGGGAGCAGGGGGGGGATGGGCGGGACGATGCCACCGTGCTTTGGGGTGTCCACCGTGTCAGGAACTTTGCTGGAGCCTAGTGTAAAGCTCCCTCCTGCCCACTCAGGCTCACCTCTGACCCCTGGCCACTGAGCAGCCAGAACGCCATCATGGCCAGGCCCCCACCCCCCAGGCAGAACTGGGTATGGGTTTCCACTGCTCTTCCAGCACCCTCCCCGTGAGCCTGCCGGCCCTGCATGGTGGGGCCTGCAGACGCTCTCACCTTGAGCTCGCCTTGCCCTACTCACCGTGCTCCAGCCCTACTGGCCTTCTCTTGGTTCCTGGGACACACCAGGCTCCCTCCCACCCCAGGGCCTTTGCACATGCTGCTCTTGCTCTAGCTGCACTGCTCCCCCTTCCTAGGAGGCTGAGGGTGTCGCACTTTGCTTCACGAAGGGTCACAGCAGCACCCACACTCAGGTGGCGAGCAGTGGGGATCAAGCAGAGAAATGCCTTGAGACCGCCTGCACAAATGGGGAATCTGGACAGTGTCCTCTTGGTAGTCACCATCTGGTGGTGGTCACCATCAGTGGCCCGGAGTCAAGGTCTAGCAGGGTCACCATCTATTAGGAGAGCCCCCTGCTGAGTTTCTAGAAGAACAGACTCCTGACTCTCCTGGGTGATTTCCTTGACCCAGGGAAGGCTAAGGAGTGTGCTGGAGAAGCTGCCACGTGGGTTTGAATCATATCTATGGGGAAGTCCAAGTATTCAGCATGGATTATCTTCTTTTAAGATATCCTGATTTCTCTTCATTCAAGTTCAATGGCAAACGGGGCTGGTGGACTAACTCTGCACCCATATATAAGGGCCCTTTGCCTTGGCTCCTGGTGGCCATATGACCAAGTCCTAGCTGGTAAAATCTAGGCAGAAGTCACCTGGAGGTTTCTGAGAAAGAAGCTGGTATCACCCTTTCCCCTGTTCCCACCTTGAATATGGGTGAGATGTCTGGAGCCATGGCAGCCGTTTTACGATCAAGAAGTGGTAAACACAAGGAAAGACCACAAAGATCACAGTCACTAGGCCTGGACTCGCATGACAAAGCCTTGGCTGGCATGACAGAGCCACTGATACAATGTGAGAAGCCGCATCTGCTAGAATCCTTGCCATGTACGAAGCACAAAGGTATTTGCCTAGGCCCCTTTAGTTGGGATTTCAGTTACTTCCAGTCAAACATGTTGCTGGCCTACGGTTGGGACTATAATAAGACTATAATGGGATATCAGGCCAAGTCAGAAATGCATTCTGGGCTTTAGGGAAGTGGGTTTTGGAGAAAAAACAAACAGCTAATCCCTTGGCAGAGGCTTTTAAAAGGGCAGAATGCTCAGAGGCATGTGAGTGTCTCAGACACGGAGCCCAGGAGTCAGTCTCGGGACCCTCCCAAGGAACAGAGGAAGTCATTCCGAAGAACTAAATGGCTGTGCAGGGGCCTCTCTGGTGAGCTTCCAACAGAACAGCCACGCCCCGGAGATGGAAGGAGGCATTGTTACAGAGATGGAATCGGAAATGGGAAGCACGTTGGGATGAAGCCCTGAAGGACCAGGGCCCAGGAAAGGCCTTCCAGAACAATCCACAAGGGGCCTCCGGACACAGGTCTGGCTGTGCGCACCAGACATCCCTAACAGCAGCTCCTTGAACAACTTAGAAGTTTGTCTTCCACATCAAATCCTGAGCTGTGGTGGCAGCTCTGGTCCAGGGAGTTGTCAGCGGCCTTGTCTCCTCTCTTGATACTCTGATATCCTAGGGGGACACCCTTGTCTGCAAGGTCAGAGGTGTCTGTCACCAAAGCTGCATTCCAGCCAGGAAGAAAGGAGGAAAGGTAGGCACAGTGCTTTCTCTTAAGGATGTGACTCAGTTGTACAAATTACATCTGCTTACCTCCCTTCGACCAGGAGTTGGTCACATGGCCTAGCTGCAAGGGAGTCTGGGAAGGGCAGCCTTTGCCTGGTGGTCATGGGCCCTATAAAGCCCCTCTTTCCAAGGAAGAAGGGGTGAGTAGAATATGGGGACAGCCAGCAGTCTGCCACTGTATAGGGACTCTGTGGTCCAGAGAGTGTGTCCTGGCCAGGGTGACATCACAGCCTGTAACTGCCTCCATATCATGCAGCCTCTCCTCACAGCAGATGCCCAACCCAAAGGGTGGCCTCCCCTCCCCAATTCTTCAGTGACCTGATCCCTGGGCCCTGGTTTCCTTCTTGCTGTCTCTCCCCTTCTGTGCAGGGGGCAGGTCTGTGTGGGGCAGAGGAACTTGGCTCTGGGGTCCGTTTGTACCCTTGATAAGGGCAGGTGCAGGGGATGGTGGTACTGAGTTTGAGGGACAAAGCTGAGGCTGGGAAGAGACTCACCAGATGGCTGGTGTCAGGCCACAGCTCAACTGTCCCCTCCTGTGGGACTCTAACAGGCCTGCCAGGAGGCTTCTACCCCCGTCCCTCCTAGGCCTTCATCTGGTTTTATTTCCTTCACACTGATTGGTGCCATGTGAAATGATCACTTTTGGTCTGTTTGCTGCTTGTGTATCACCTGCGTCCTCTAACTAAACCAGGAGCCCCACAGGGACGGGGCCTGTCTCCTGCCCACGGCGGGGTCCCTTGCATCTGGAACTCTCCTGTGAGTCCTCATTAATGGCCTAATCCAGCAGGAAGCATGGGCAATGGGCTCCGTCTGCCCTCATTCTGCCCACTCCCCTGGGTCTCCCACATACACTGAGGGGTGGGGGGCTCGCCACCAGGGGACCTTGTGTCACACAGGAAGGGAGAGAGATTCTTCTGGAACTGAGGTGAAGTCCTAGGGTTGTAAGAGAAGCAGAAAGTCTAGGAGCTCCCCTGACCTTATTCCTGTGGGGCCAGGAGGTACCTCCGCATAGCAAATGTGAGCTGCCCCCTAAATAGAGGAGGGGCCCCCACTGGGTGGTTCTAGTTCTGGCTCCCAAACTATGTCCTACCCACCCTTCGACCCCAGCCAAGACCCACTCCTCAGGCCTGTGCCATGTCTGAGCCATCCGCCACCTTCGTCCTTCCCCCTTTGGCTCTCAGGAGCCTGGGTGGCGCTTCATTGGCTTCTGTTCAGTCCCACATCTCGGCCAACAGTCCTGTGGGATCCCAGAGGGCCTTCGGCCCCTCCGGGACAAGGCTGCCGCACCCCCCCACCCCCGCTCTGGCCAGCCATGTGCCCCTGCCTGGGGCAGCGGGGCCTATACCTGCTTGTTCAGGAACAGGTCCCTTCCCAGGAGGCATTCCTCCCTGCTCAGCAGGACCCCGTCCCGAGTCTGGGGCTCTCTCCGGCAGCAGGCCTCGGGTACCTCGTCACTGTCCAGGGTCAGGAGTCGGAAAACTGATGCAAGCTTGAAGTCCTCAGGCCCGCTGACGCCACAGCAACCAAACTGGGAGGAGAGCAAAGGGGAGAGTCTGCTGGGCGGGAGCTGGCCCTGTGGGGCAGAGGTGGGCAGACGGCCTCTCAAGGCCACGGTGAGGAAGCATGGTGGAATGGAGTTCAGAGCGGGTGTGGGCTGGCTACCTCCCCTCCAGCATCCCGCTCCATCCGTGTGACCCTGGGCAAGTCCCTCAGCTTCTCTGAGCTTCCAGTGTCCTCATCTGTCAGACGGGGGTGCTGGTAACAATTCCTGCCTTACCAGGAACTTCGTGCTCAGTGAACAGTTGCTACGATTGCCGTCACTGGTGATGACAGCTGCTGGAGGATTCAAGGCCGGGGTGGCCACCAGGTTTCATCCGAGTGTGGACTGTGACTGAGGGGCAGCGGTTGTCGGGACGCTGTGTGTGTGTATGATTCCCAGGCAAGCCCGGGCTTGGGGGTCAGCGCCCTGGTGGATCCCAGGCACGTGAGCAGAGGGGGCTCTGGGGGCTGGACATCTGCAACCCTGGGCATCATGGCTGTGAAATCCCATAGCATCCTGGGTGTACAGGGGCTGTCACTCACTGTGATCATGACCGAGTTCCAGGTGGCAGAGAAGACGTCTGTGTCGTTGTTGCCCTGATAATGCTTGGTGAGCTCCTTGGTGAAGAATTCACGGGTGAGCTGGGGGCAGAGGGAGAAGGGGGTTGAGACCCCCACCCGGCTGCTCGGTGCTGCCCCTGCCCCTCCCTGGCCTCTCCACCTGTCAGCTTTGGGGTGGGTCCCTTAACCCCACCTCAGAGGCTGTGGCCTGCCCGCATCGTGGGGTCACTCATGTGAAAAGTCTACACACACCCCCAGGCAACCCCGAGGCCAGGGCATGCTGGGAACCTTGCTTTGCCCGGCAGCTCTTCTCAGGCAGGGGGCTAACACGAGGTGGGGGCTTGCCCTCACGCCACCCCCTTCGCCCCGAGCTGTGCCTCGGACAGAGCGAAGCGGTTGCCTGGAGAAACTCAGTATGGAGCAGGTAGTCCCTGCACATCTAGTTTCCAGAGATGTCCCTGGAAGCTGCTCCTACCCTCAAAACATTCTCCAGAGGTCTCACCATCCTCTGGCTGCAGTGAGAGGGTGGGGTCCTGGGAGGTGCCCCGCGGAGGGGGACCCTCTGGGCACCCTTCTCTGCTGCCTCCTCTTCCCCTCTGGGCAACGACAGCTCATCTGCTCACCACCCAGGGCCAGCTTGTGTCTCCTGCCCCCCCCCTCGCCCCTCTTGGTTTCCGGGCCACCTTGGGCTGGTGCCTGGCCCTCCTAGTCTCAGGAGAGAGCTTGGAACCCCCGGTGGCTGGAGCCCCTGAAGTAAGATGGCTTGTGGTGACAAGTGGCCCACCCTGGACACGGGCCAGCACCTCAGCTACTTGTCACACATTCCAGGGCGTAGGGGACAGCCTCCCTGACTACCCTCGGACTGTCCAATGACTAGTGCCGTGCCCTTTCCTGGCAAGATGTGGAACAGAAGATTCCAGAACCAGGTGTGTGAGGGCACTAGATGTTGGGGAAGTGAGACCCTGATGCTAACCTTCTGGAAAAGCCCTCATGAGGAAGAGGCTCACGGGGTCACGATTTGGGCTGAAAGTGGTGGAGGAGACCTTTCGAGGGTGGGATTGACCGGCATGGTGGCCACCGATCCCTCACAGGTGGCAGGGAGCCAGTGTGCGTGGGGCCCAGTACGTACATTTTCCCTGAAGATGAAGGCCAGGATGGCCGCCGAGAGCTCTGCCAAGAAGATGATCAGGATGAACAGGAAGAACTGCAAAGAGAGGGGGCGGGCTCTGAGTCCCGGGGGCGGGGCAGGGGGCCGGAGGCCCTTCTGTTTTTAACAGTGAAATGATTTTGTAAACAAGATTGGCTGGCACTTTTCATAATGAGCATGCCAGCCATCCGTCTTGGAGGCCAGCAAGGTCGCAACACAAACACAGAAAAAGTAAACAGACAAAACAAGCCTTCGGTGCACACGGCAGCCCGCAGCCGAGGCCTCATCTGGACAGCGCGGCCTGGCCCCCTGGAGGGGACGGCCGTCCACGGTCAGAGCTGTGGGAATCCTGGCTCCGCCCCAGCCCCTCCCCCTGCTGCAGCCTCTGCTCCCCACGGGAGGTGCGAAGGTGATACTGATCTTCAGCCACAGTAAGTAATGCAGCAAGATTGGAGGGAAGGGGGCGTGTCCATCAAAATGTGGAAACCCAGGGACCGGGAGTTTGAACCTAACGAAGCCCCTCTGCTCCCCCACTGCTTTCCTGATGCTCCCCAAGTCCCCCACGATGACCCTGGTCTTGGGGCCTCCTCTGCCGGGAAGGCCACTCTCTGCCTCACCCACCGGCAGGTTTAGTCCAGGATGCTCTCCCCTTGAGAAGCCTTTCCCATCTCCCCGCCCCCCACACCCCATCACAGTGCCCCACAGAGATGTCCCCACAAGGTCCCTGATGTAAGCACAGAGGCTGTGATTCAGCAAGCCTCTCCCCGTGCCCGGACGGCACAGACATCGATGGGCTCGTGGCTATCAGAAGAGGGAAGGCAGCCAGCAGTGACTGACTCGCCGTCATGGCCTTGCTGTACGCTACATCTCAGGCCTGCTTTGTCACGGGCATTGATTTGCATGAGAGCTGGTGGCAGAAGAAAGAGGAAATGGCTATGCCTTTGTTACTGAGCATGGCTGGTGCCTTTGGCATGGACGGCCTGAGATGGTCTCAGAGTTGTCACCCGACCGGAGACTGCCAGCAGGGGACCCAATCCCCAGCGCACTCAGATGGGTTTTAACACACCCACCCTCCCAGATGCCTTGGCCAGCTGTCTTGGGTCATGGTCCCCAGAGGACCAGGCCACACTGGATGTGCCCAGCACAGAAGTGAGCAAAGGGCCCTGGGCTTAGTGCCATGGCGCCCCTGCCCACCTTGCCTTGCTTTGTGTGACTTGGGACAATCGCTGGAGCCCTGCCTGGCCTCTATTTCCTCGTCAGTAAAATGAGGACGGAGCAGCCACTTCCGGGGCCACGTGGGGAACAGTGAAGTAATGGGTGTGACAGTGTCCTGCACGTCACCAGAGAGGCTGAGCTGAGCTGGTCGTCGAGGCTCTAACAAGACTACATGAAGCACGGAAGCCGGCCCAGGGGCTGGGGGGGGACCCGTGAGGCCCCAGTGCCCTGCTCCAGTGACACTGGCTGACGACACCCTCGGTGTCTGTCCCGCACCATTTCTTCTGGTCAGAAGAGTTTCTGTCACTTCTTCTTCACCTCGGGAACAGCCCCAGCACGTTCCCTCCCTGAGTTTTCAGCATGAACGGCACTGCCCCCGTAGAGGTCTGTCCGGGGGTCCCTGCAAATCGCTCGGGCTACAGACCACCTTTGGGGAGACCACCGGGATGGGTTGCAAAATGACCCACTGCGGATGTGGGCATGGAAACAGCTCCTCGACCTGGCAGAGGGTTTGGTGTTGACTCTTTTAAACGCCCAAACTCAAGAACCAGCCCTGGCCTGAACAGGTCAGCCCGCCCAAGGCGCGGATCTGTCACTCCTGGTCCCAGACCGTCGTCTTCCGCCACAGCAGTCCCGCCTGGTTTAAGCTGCCCCAGCACAGGCTTTGGCCTCCAAGAGGCTTCTTCAGCCACGGAGCCCAGCACTGGTCTCCAGCCTGGGGGAGGGGAGGACTGCTCCAAAGGTGGGCGGCCCCGAGACTCCAGGGCCACGCCTTCTGCCCGCCCCTTGCACAGTGCCGCGCTGCCTCCTCTGTCTGAGGAGTGTGCTTCACGACTAACGTGTCAGCAACTCTGCTGAACTTCCCAGAGAGGTCTGCTTCTAACAGGTCAGCCTTGCTGGGGTCAGCTGTGCAGGGTGCCCTTGGACTGAGCCTGGGGTTGGGCAGAGTTCCCCAACCAGAGGGGACTGTGACAGAGTGCCTCCTGGGCCCCTGGCCGTATACCTGCAGTCCATTCCAACACCCCTGTGGCCCCTCCCCCATGCACGGGTTGGTTCTGGGGCCGAGTGAGTGATGTGCTGGTCACTTCTGTGGCCTCTCTTCCCCGACAGTGATGGAGGCCCCTGGCGGGGCTCCTGGCACTTCCATTTGCCTGGTGATGGATGGTCATCGGGCCGTTTCCACGGGAGCCCCCCCCTGCCCTGCGCCTTCTCCGTGGCGTCGCTGGCAGTCCTGGGGCTGGCAGAGAGCGGCCTCAGAAACCGTCTCCATCCTTGGTGACGTGATTCAGCTGGCTCTCACTATCGATCAGCGTGGCTTGGACAGTTATAAACTATGGATGAGACTGAGCTCTGGCCTCATGCGCTCATCGCTCTGGGAGCGTGTACCACGCAGGATGACCCAGCACAGCTGCAGTGAGCCGACGCAGGCCGAGCTGCTCACGCAGGGCTGGTGCGAGGCAGGAGCCCTGCAGAGGGCGGCTCCGAACCAGGAGGAAGTTCCCCTAATCTGGGCCTTTCCCAGGGTTTGTTTGCCTTGGGTTCATCTAACCTCAGTCCCTCTGCCCACGGGCGCATTTGCCAGTAGTTCCTGAGCATTACATTTACAACACTTTGCACAGGACGGGAAAATTAACGAAGGGGTGGCAACTGCTGTTTTGCCTCCGGGAAGCGTTTCCAGACTCTTCTAACCCATCTGCCTACAGGCACATCTGCTTCCAGCCCTCATTTCTAATAAATATTTACCAAATTTACATATTTCATGTGCCGTTCAGCCCATGGATCTCTTTTAAATATACTCATCTCTTTTTGCTGTTCTCATTTCCAATTTGCATGCCTTTTGTTACAAACTGTTTTCTAAAAACTGGAGTCAAATAACTGGGCCAAAAGAATTCCTTGAACTACTCAGAGGTGAGCAACCAGGAACGAGGGCTGCCACAGAGTGTCGTCAGCAGGCTGGAATTGTCCTGTTGCGTGTGAAAATGCTGTAAAAATCCATCAACAGGAGTGTTTGAAAAATGTATCTTCAAAAAAATGGATCCTTAGGCGATGTGGTCATTCAGCTCATTGTCCCCGGGGTTAGTGTCGGCGGGACCCCGTGGGTGTCAGCCTTGGAGCCAGAGAAGGGAGGCTCAGGTAACCTCCACCCCAGAACCCCCTTTTCCCGCAGGCCTTCGAGCCGGGGCTCCGGAGGATGCTGGGGTGCTCCTTCTTGGCCCCTCTCAGGACAAGTCTCCCTCCTTCACGACAGGCTGAGGAAGGGGTCTCAGGCTTTCCTGAGGCCCCCAGCATCCAGCAGGGGGAGACACAGTGCCCCTCTGCCGCTGGAATCCCCACACAGCCAGGTCCAGGTTAGAAGAGAAAGTGCTTCTTCTTATTTTTTAGGACATGAGTCTCTTTGAAAGCCTTCTGGAAGCTGTGGTGTCTCTCCCCAGAAACATGCATGTGCATACAATATACACACACACCCACACAGCCCACATGTGTTAGCCACACACATGCAGGCCCTGACGGAATATCTCACACATAATTTCATGTGAATTTTGAACCACTTGAGCCCATGCCAGGGTAGCAGCCCCTGGCCCAGCCCTGGTCTGAGGGAGAGCAGACTTGTGCCCAGGGGTCGCCTGGCTTTGACCTGCACTGTGACCTCAAGCTTGTCTGTGCTGGGTATGAGAAAGGGAAGGAGAGGGGCGGGATGGGGAGGGAAGGAGGGAGGAGAAAAAAGGAAACATGGGAGGAATAAAGAGAAAGAGGCAGGAAGACCGCACAGAGAGGCAAGGAGCATTCAGTAGGGACAGAAGCTCAGAGGCCAGGAGAAGGGCCAAGACAGTGAGACAGAGACAGAGGCGGAGGAAAAACAAGCAGAGAAAGGGAGCGATGGAGAGATGAGACTGAAGAGAGAAAAAAAGGCAGCAAAGGGTGGCAGGGGGCTACTTGAAGGTTTGGTGGGCTGGCCATGGCCACGGCCAGGACTTGACTCTCTCTCCAGGGACTTGGGGTGAACCTCATCCTGGGCCTCCATCTCCTCCTAAGCACTGAGAGTGATGTCCTCGTCCAGCTGGCGGGCTCGGAGGGAACCACTTAGCTCGCAGCCTCCCCAGCCCAGAGCTCCAGCCTGGCTTCCTGTCTTGGCTTCAGAGATGAGCCCATTAACAATAGATGAGCCCTGGGGGTTGATGTGGTGGTGGTGGGGGCTCCGGGTGGGGAAAGAGGTTCGGTGTGTCCTGAGAACCCATACCCCTCCCCTTTTAAAGTCTCCTGGGGCTCCCCAAGCCCAGGTTTCTTCCCTTGCACCATCTGACACGGCAGAGAGTTTCCACCAGAGGGCGCCCACATGTTTCTTTGTTTCTCAATGAAAAGTTTGCAGCCGTACATGCTTGCTGAGAGCCAGAGACCCAAGGCTGGGCGTTGCACATTTCACGGCTGACTTCATTTCTCTCTGTGGTGTGGGGCACCTCATTGTGATACGAATCAGGGCCGTCTCGTGTGCTCTAATTTTAGGAGGAGGCACTGTGCCGCTCTCTGCCTCCTGAAGTGCTAGGTACTGGCTCGTGGGCCCGAGCAGACCGGGAAGCCTTGCAGGCAAGTCGTCCGGATGACCGGCCCAGACCTTCCTGTTGCGGAACTCCCCACCCACCCGCTCACTAGTCCACACACACACTTCTCTCCGCAAGGCTGTTTTTAACTTAACCCATAGCAGCGCTGGGCTCAACTCACAAGTTCTACTAGCCCTGGGGACCCACAGGACCCCTCAGGGAAAGAAGACCCATCCACCCAGGCCAGGAGGGTCAGCAGAAGCCCAAAGGGCCACTGGTCACGGGAAATACAACAGACCAGAGAAACGGGACATCTACCCCTTGTCTCACTTGCTCTCACCTCCCGCTAAGCTTGTGGGCTCCCTGCTTAACGATCAAAGACAGGGAGGCTCAGAGAAGTTAAGACACTAGGTGGGAGTCATAGCCTTAGGGGACAGAATGGGGTGCATGCTCACCCTAGGCCTGCCTGTCCCCTGCCCAGGAGGGGACAGCCACTCTTGTCCCCTGATGCATCTTCAGCACCCAGTGAACTATGGGGCTCAAAGTACCTGTTCAAGGACCACTCGTTTAATGAATAAAGGACCTTCAGAGTCGTATTAGTTCTGTTTTAGAACTGGAAAAGCAAAAGGTGAATGATTTATCCAATAGCTATCTTAGTTCTTTCACCAGGAATTATAGATCTGAGTTCTTAAAAGCAAACAAGTAGAACAGCATCAGGGTCACTGTTCTCCGCTGACCGTGCCTTGGAGAAGCCTGGCTGTTCAGACCCAGAGGTCAGGCCCCTCCCCACCTGGGGGCAGCTTCCCCATGCAGGAGGCTTGGGCCCAGCCCAGAGAGAATGCTCCGGAAGCTGGGGCTGCAAGTACAAATGGGAAAGGTTGGTGGCCCTCCTACCTGGGCTCAGACCTCAGTGTGACTCCCCTGCAGTGTAGGCCCTGGGCCTCCACCTCCCACCTCGGGGCGCCCCTGGGTGGGGTGGGGGACGGCAGTACTCACAAACAGCAGCAGACACTTGTTCTCCCGGATGGCCCCGCAGCAGCCCAGGAAGCCGAGCAGAAAAAGTAGGCCCCCCATGGCCAGGATGATGTAGGCGCCCGTGATGAGCAAGGGGTTGGCGGCCACGATCTCTCGGAAGCCCGTGGGGTCCACCATGACCCAGATGCCGAGGCCCAGCAGACAGGCCCCACCCAGCTGCTCGCCGGCCCAGGCAGCAGGGAGGAGAAGAAATGGGCAGACACGGAGGTGAGATGTTAGACTCTCCACACGCACACACACACACACACACACACACCCCCCTGAGCGAGGCCCTGGCAGAGGTGGTGAGCCTGAACCGGGCGGGGACTCCGTGTGCTGCAGGAGCCCGTGTCCCCGCACCGCCTGTCATTGCTGTGAGTCTTCCCACCCATGGACCGTAAGAGCAGCTCGCCTCCTCTGAACCCAGCCTCTGACCCCGGCCCCGCTCTGCCTGCTGGGAAACCATATCACGGGGAGTTTATTGGCCAGGTTTAGATTCTCCTTACATGTCACAGCTGCAGGAGTACGAGGTCACCTAGTCCAACCCTCGGACGCCGCACTGAGCCCCAGAGGTGGCCACCGACCTGCTGAAGGCCACATGGCCATTTCGGGGCAGAACCCGCCCGGGTGAATCCCTGGCCTCCCAGACTCCAGCTCCAAACACACACTCCCAGAGCCTCCGTGACAGGCACCGACTCCGACACTGCGCTGGTGCCCTGTCAGGGACAGGAGGGCAGACAAGCCATCCCCTCGGTCCCCAACAGGAGCTCTCAGTCAGGTGGGTGCCCCACTCTCAAATCTGCACCTCGCAAGTCTCCGTGTTTATGTCCCCACCTGCACGGCCCACCTCCCCTGCCTAACTCATTTTGGAGAGAGGCAGCGCAGGCCAGAGGGGGGGGGGCTGTGCTACTTATCAGCTGTGTGACCTTGGGTAAGTGGCTTAACCTCTCTGAACTTTTTAGCTTCCTTGTGGTTAAAAAAAGATCCAAATCCCCACCTCCCAAGGTGGCCTGAGGAAGAAAGGACAGGGTGGGTGTGAATGTACTCAGCAGGTTTTAATAAATTGCTCTTCCATTTGTCCGGGGCGCAGACAAGCACTGGAAGCGGACCGGATGCAGGTGAGCCAGTTCGGCATTGCTGGGTTTTGAAGGCTGTAAAGTGTTTGGGGTCGCAGTGTGGTAGGGGGAACGGCAGATGGTGGCTGAGAGCAAACTGCCGAGCTCTGGCTTGGCTGAGAGGGGACTGGAAGCTGCGGGGCAGAGCTGCGCAGTTCGGGGTTAAAAATCGTATTTTAGGTACAGCTGGGGCAGAGAGGCCTGAGGGACCCAGCAGTGGGGGATAAAGGGAAAACCAGCAGAGACGGCCAATGACAGAGGCTACAATTTTGCCCTCTGTCACTGGTGTCCTTAACAACCTCCAGTGGAGCCTGTGCCCCGCCCCACGGCTGTTGGAGGTTTGGGGGTTCACAACTGTGTGCTGAGGGCTGCTGCAGGGAGGGCTTGTGTAAGGACTGAGCTGCACAGGTGGCCCTGCCCCTTTTCAGGTGGGGACCCTGGGGTTGGCCTGAGGTCACTAGCTTGGAAGTCTGGTCTAGAATTCAAATCTGTCAGGCTCCTTTCTCTCCAGAATGCTGGGCCCAGAGAGGGGATCCGGGACAGCTGCTGACATGTGTAGAAAACAGATGGAGACAGAGTCAGCCTTGACCAGAAAGGGGCCTCTTCCTCACAGTGACCCTACCCTGGAGGACATTAGTGGACGTTTATATATTCATCCAGGTCTTGGAGGTCAAAAGTTCAGGTGGGGTCAGGAAAGCCTTTAGGGACTCAAGACGCCAGGGGCCTGACTCTCTCCTACGAAAGGCCACGGCTCTGGCCCCCGGTGGGTTGCCAGCAGGTGGGCTGTGCGGTGGCACCCTGGGCTGGCCACCCGAGCAGTCACGGAGGGAACCCATAGGTTGGGCAGGGTCGGAGCTCAGCTACCGAGTACAGACAGGTCGCAGGCACTTCCTAATCGTGCTGAATTAAAACAAACAAACAAACCCAAAAACACCTGTTGAGGTGGGTGATGAGGGGATGAAGACACTGAGGTTCAGAGAGGTGAAGTGTGTTTCAGATCACATAGCTGGTAAGACGCAAAGCTTGGCCTTGAATCCAGGTCTCCTAGTCCCAAAGAGGGTTCTGGTTCCCTCAGGTCCCCCCTGAGCTCTGCTGTCTGTAATGCTCTGGGGTTGGGGCTAGGCGGGTGCCCGCTGCTGCCCTCTGGTCACCCTGTGTCCTCCTTTCCCCCAGGCCCTACCAGGGGTCAGATCCTAAGACAGTGGCCAGGACTGAGGCCCTTACCCTTTGTCAAGGAGCTGGACCATCCTGGATCCGTACAAAATGTCTCTCCTAGGATGGTGGGCTACTTGGAGCGGGGTGAGCACTGCTGGGGGCCCCCCGCCCAGAAAACCCTGGCTGGGCAGGTAGATCTGCTTCTTGCGCTGGTCCCTGTCCCCACCCTGGGGATGCAGCCCGAGTGACTGTTTCCAAGCAGCAGCCAGCTCTGCCCCCTCGGCAGAGGCCTGGGAGCCCCCCAGGTGTGTTTCAGGGATACTCACAAATATGAAGAAATTGAAAACAAACATCAGGTACTTCATGCAGCTCAGACAGTCGCCTTCCATGATGCTCCACCTGCAAAGCAGCAAGGCTCCTCAGTCCTTGCACTGGGGGACCCGGCCCAGAAAGAACCCCTCTCCCGTCTCCTCCACGGTGGGGGCAGGTCCCAGCCTGCCCCAGTAGTGGGAGGGGAAGAGGGAAGCCCGCAACATCTCCTCTCCCAGGGAAGGCACTTTGCCCTGTGGAGCCAGTTAGGAGTGAGAACTCAGCATGCCTGAGTTTAAGCTCATGGCTACCATTCATTTGCTGTGTGGCCTTGGGCAAATTACTTTACCTCTCTGAGTCTTGTTCTAACTTGAAAATGGAAATTAAAACCAGAACCTTCCTCCCAAGCAGTGCTGTGAGGACGGATTGAAATGAAGCAGTAAGATGCTTAGCATGACACCCGGCAGGTGGCAAGGCCTCAGTGATGCTACTTGATATCACTTGACGCCTGAGGTGAGCCTTCCATTTGGCAGATGAGTGACTGAGACTCGGAGCCTTGAGAGACTCGCCAAGGTCACGAATCCGGATAGGACCCGGGCCGGACACACTTCTCACCACCGTGCACTGCCTCCAGCCCGCAGGAATGCCCAGCGAGGAGGGGCGCTGCAGGGAAAAGAGATGAGGGCTCCCAGCTGGGGGCCCAAGTCCTGCTCCTGGGGCCAGTCCCTCCCACACCCTGACTACCTCCAGCACGACACCTCCAGCATGCCACCCCCTCCAGAGCTCAGCGAGTCACAGAATACGATTCTATTCAGCTGACATTTATTGTACATCAACTGGAAGCCAGGCGCTGGGGCTTGAAGTTGATGAGATGCAGCCCCTCTGGAGAATCCCTCCCTCCCCGGCCCTGGGAGGATCGGAAAGCATCTGCTGTTATGAGTCAGACCTCAAGGTGCATAAGGCATGTTCATATTCAATATTCGATGTTTTCACACCTTCTTCATGGCAGCCCTGGAGAGATGGGTGGGGCCAGGAGGACCTACCCTTGCCCTCATTCCAGGCCCCACCCTCCTGGCAGCCAGTGGGAGGGCGGAGATTCGGTGGGGACCCAGGGGAACGGCTGGCCTGCTGTCTGGCTAGCATCTCTTCTGCATGGTCCACGCTAGTGCCCATCAGGTGTCAAATGACTTGACCACCACCCCCAAGCCCAGGCTCCTCCTCTGTCGGGCTCAGCCATGGAGGCATCCTCAGCCCCAGTGAGACGCTGAGCAGACGGCAGGGGCTGGGCTCCGGAGTCCCCCCACTCTGCCCATCCAGGCGAAGCTCCTCTCCAAGGTAGGGTCCAGTTTCCAGTGGGCTCTAGCAATTTGGCAGTGAAGGGACATGATGAATGTGCCGGCTCATGAACAGGCTCCCACGCTCATTAGAGACTGCACTGATGGGGAGGCTTGCGGAGTGCGGGACTCTCAGACGAGCGCAATGAAAGGAGGCGTGTCTCCTGGGAAGAGCCTGCACAACCTCAAAAGTGAGGCAGGCAGGAAACGGGTGATGTGAGCTGGACGCTGGATGGAGATAGGGACCTGGGTCCCAGCTCCAGGGCCAGGTGGGCGACAGAAAGGGCGCTTGGTGCCTGACAGTGGGTCACATCCGGATCTGGCAGGCTCAGCGGCCGGCCTGGGGCAACTGCATGCACCTGAGTTTCCTTGTCTTTAAAATTAGTGTAAAAATAACACTTTCCAGACAATGCATGGAAAATATTGAGCACAGGGCTTGGCACGTGGTAGCTGATAAGAGCAACAGGGAGTGACAGCTGGCCTACCCTGAGTTCCTACTATGTGCCAAGAAACATGCGCTATCTCCTTCCTCATTAGGCTCCAAGATACAGGTAATATCATTTTTCAGGTGAGAGAAATGAGGCTCAGAGGGGTGGAATCACTTATCTGGGGCCACACAGCATGGAAATGCCTAAGGCAGCATTTGAACCCAGGTCTGTCTTATTCTGGAACCATAATTCTAACTCACCATTTTCAGTGAATGCTAATTCCTTGCCCCATTCACCCACTGCCCAAAATTCAGACCTGTCTTCCTACCTCCTATTCCCATTCATTTCCCACTGTCCAGCGCAAAGGGCCTCCTGGGCCATTATCTACTGCAGGGATGGTCAAAAGACCAATGTCTGCTTGCTCTACTCCCCACAAGGGGTTTCCCCTCATGGGGACACGTCTACAGCCAAATGGCCGGATAAGATTGACAGACACATAGACTCTCCAATCCCTACTTGGATCTGGCTCTTAGCCCCACCTACCCACAGAGCCTTTTGGAAGTTAGCATCACCATAGTTCCCTCATTTACCTCTTAAGAGAGTAGGGATACTGACAACGTCTGGAAGGTGGGCTAAGAAGACATTTGAGACCATGAAGTTCAAGGGCTTAGTTTTTTCTTGAAAGAGATGTTCAAAAGGCACTTATGAAGGAGATTGGGGGCCTCTCTGCTACATGGGAATGGCACACCCTCCCTGGGACCAGGGGCAAAAGGCCCACTGAGATCCTCCCATTCCTGGAGCCCGCAGGGCCTGCGAAGGGAGAGTATCAGTGTGGGTGGGGGCTGCAGAGTCAGGCTGGACCTGGAGCCCCCACCTCCCGGGACAAACCACATGACCTCTCTGGGCCTTTGTGCTGGCCTCCTTGGCACATTGTATGGACTTGGGATTAAATGACAGCTCCTCACGCCAGGCCTGACGGGTGGTGGCTCTGTTCCCTCTTTCCTCCCCGCTGCCTCGTCCAGAGCGGCTCTTCCACCTGCCCTTCCAGGCACCCACCAGATACCTCAGCTGCGGTTCTGTGTCAGGAGAGGTGAGGACTCTGGTGCCAAGGACTTCTGAATGTGAGCGCAATGGTTCTCAAACTGGGTTCCTGGAGACTACACACATCCTAAAGCTATTTTCAGGATATCAGATATCTCAGAAATTCCCCCCTTGCCACCGGCCAGGTAAATGTCTTGGTTTTAGGGCAACTAAGTCACCCCAGGGTGGGCGCCCTGTTTCTTGAGTTATTCAGATGCTCTGGCCACCAGGTATGTATGACTTTGCAGTACAAAAGCTAAGGAGAAACTTGAACACATTCTTAATAAGTGACTCAGTGAAGGCAGGGCTGTTTAGTAATAGAACCCTCTACATCTTGGGGTTCAGAGGGATGAAATACGGGAGTGAGCTTCATAGGCAGCCTCGACTTCACGTGACTTCAACTCCCCACGTGCAACTGGAACTCGTGCAGGAGGGCAGTTTAGTGCTGTGTCCCAGCTGCCCTTCCACGTAGGCATCGGCCCCAGGGCGGGCGGGGTGGGGACCCTGCACCTGCGCTGTGCATCTCATGGTCTCAAGGCTCCTGTGCCTGTCACAGTGTCCCCGCACCTGGGCACACGAGGCTTCTGGGCTTGCAGGTGGATGTTTTCCCCCCAGACACAACCGACTGTTTCTTGTCTTAAACACAAAACCGGTGTTTAAGAGCTTTAGGAGGATTTACAGGGGAACTTGGCTTGACACCCACTAGTGTGGGTGCTGGTTTAGAGCCCAGCCCTTATGTGACTTATGTCGTCTGCACTCCGGTGACCGAAGTCCCTGGTCAGCAAAAGTCAGGGCAGCACTGATCCGGGCCAACACCCTCACTTTGAGGCTGAGGAAGGGCAAGCGGGTTTGGCCAAGTCACAAACCAGTTAGCGAGGGACGTGAAGGAGACTGGAGCCTGGTTTCCGGAAGCCCAGGCCCCGCCCCTGGAAACGCTGTGAACTGGAGGTTTTCCTTACTTCATCTGGTAGCGCACGTCTTCCTCTGTGAGGACGCACGCTTCGTAAAGGCGTGGGCCGGCTGGTTTACGGCCGTGTCCCCAGTATCTAGAGCAGGGCCAGGTACACAGTGGGGCCTCAGTTAATATGTCTGAATGCATGAATGAATGAATGGTCAGAAAAGAACAAAGACAAAAGAGGGCCAGCAAATCGGAGAAATAGACAAAGGCAAGTCAGAGAGTGGAACAGATGGAAAAAGACAGGGAAAGAGAGACAGACAGCAAGGAGGGACACAGGGAGAGACAGACTGACAGACAGCTTCGGGGGAGCGAGGTGGCCTGAGGGCGCACAGTGAGGGGGAAGCAACTGCTGACTTGTCACCTGGGCGGTTCTTTGGGCGTAAGCAGGACGGACTCTCCTGGTCAGAGGGGCTGCTGTATATTTCTTTTATTGGCCCAGCTTGTCCTATAAGAGAAAATATTCAATTACTATAGGAAGTTATTAAAGAACAGCCACGTTCATGAAGCTGCTTATGAAAACCCACCCTGCAGGTACAAACTCGGGACAAGTGCCCTGCTAATTTGGGTCCATTAGGAAGAACAAAAAGCCCTCGGCACCTGGGTGCCCCCATCGGGGAGGCCTGTGTGGGGTGCCTGCCTCTGCCCAGATGGCAGCTCTAGGTGCCCTTGCTGGGAACCTCACCCTCCAAAGAGCTGCAGTCTCTGGCATGGCTTCCTTGCTGCATGTGACTGACGAACTGGGAGGAGACAGTGGCGTGGGTGGCCCACACACCTGAATGTCACCTGACACCAGTGGGGCCCTTACATCAAATCCCCTCCCCAGGAACCGTGCCTCCACATAAGGAGAGAGAAATTTGGTGTTGGAAACAGCTCCTTAGCTTTGCGTAAGGATTTGCCAGAAGGGCCCTTCGGAGAGTCAGCTCCCAGCAGTGGGAAATGAAGGTTTGGTTTCAGCAGCCAAATGGGCCCAGGCGGAGAGTCCTGTTCTACTACACTTCTGGGGAGTTCCACAGCGGGTCCTGCTCACACAGTAGGCTGGAGGACAAGTTCTAGAAAGAAATCGGAGGCCGGGGGGGAGCTTGGGCTGCCGTGTGGAGGAAGGGGAGGGTTGCTGGGTCTCAGGAGCCGATTCCGATTCCTTTTTCCCATCATGTCATCCCACACTCGCTGCATCACACTTCCGCACGGCCTGGACGCACCTGCCTGGGCCTCGCCCCTTGAGACCCTTGGAAAGTCGCTATTGTCCCTGAGATGTAGGTTCTCCTCTGAAAACTGTGAAGCTCAGTTTTGAAGCCAAAGGTAGTTACAGGAATTCATGATGTGAAATGAATTGATATTTTATATCATGTCACTTCATTCACATAAAATGAAGTGATATGATATGAAAACACTTGGAAGCCTGCAAAGCACAGTTGCCATGGACGGCTATTACTACCAGCATCGTCACATATTGGAGATAAGTGGATGCTCAATCCACATTCACTAGTTGTCAGTGGAGGTGAACGTGGAGAGAAGCATGGACATATGGCTTACCCGGGGTTGGGAGAAACATCTTCCCATTAAATGGCCCCAAATTCAAGTTAATTCTTATGGCCCTGTGATAAGAAGCTAATAATAACATTTACCATGTACCAGACTAAGCTAAGAATGTCTCCTGTGTTCTCTTACATAATCCTCACCCAGGAGGTGGGTGCATTACCTCGTTTTATAGATGAGGAAACCGAGGCTCAGGGACTGTGAGGAACTGGCTTTATTCCCATGGTTAGTGAGACATGGCCATGATTTAGGCCCAAGTTTGCTGGTCTCCAAAGCAGGGCTCCTGGTAAAACACCAGTCTGCGGACATGGTGCCAAGGACAGGACACCAGAAGGAGTGAGTGTTATGTGTTAGTCCCTAAAGTCTCCAACTCAGGGATGCTCTGTCCTGAATCGGGCAGAAAGGCAGAGTCCCAGGGAGCCAGCTAGCATCCTCCCTGGTGCCAGCTAGAGGCCTCTGCAGGGTGGCTGGATCCTGCCATCCGTCGACAGATGGGAGCCCTGAGGCCCAGAAAGGGGCAGAGATGGGCGAGGTCACGCAGCGCCTCAGGGTTCTCCTCTCCAGGCCCCTGCGAGGGCCAGACAGCTTTATTAGTCTTGCTCCTCCCACTGCCCCAGATGGCGCCTCAATCCCATCTGTACAGAGCGGGCCCTGGGGGTGGTTTCTGATTAAGGAGAACAGCTCAGTTCATAAATCACTCCTTTACTTTCACTGCCCCCAGCCCCTGGGCATGCTTTCTGGAGAGAGAGAAAAGAAGGCAGGTGGACATGAGCCATGGGAGAAGCCCCCCATCAGAGGAAGTAAATGTAAGTCTGGGCTGCTGTAGAGTGAGAAATGTGCTGTACACGCCCCTGCCAGGTGAGGCCGCTGTGGTGCAGGACCCGCCTGACCTCCAAAAACCAGGGCTCCAACCTCAGGGGCTCTGCCCTGACAAGCTAGGGGACCTGGGCCACCCTCTCCAGCCCCTGAGCCTGTGTTTCCTCATCTCTGTCGTGGGGATTCTCGGTCTAACTCCCAGGGTCACCGGGAGACATGAAGATGAGGAAGGTGAAAGCACTTTGGCAGCTGCACATCCAGTTCCTTCCTTCCTGTGTGTGCCAGAGGCCTACTAGTGCCGGCCCTGGGCTTGGTCCAAGGCGCGGAGACCAAGGACTCACCTGGTGAGAACCAATAACCTGGTACTTGGGGAGCAGCGTTAACGACCACACCAACCAAGTGCTCTGGGCGTGTCCAGCAACAGAGAAATGAGAGCAGAGGGGCAGACTGGAGGCTGGGGAGGCCTGCGTGCGGGGGGGGGGGGGGGGGGGGGGGCAGGGCAGGACCAACATCCATTCATTGGGCCTCAATGAGGATACACCGTGCCAAGGGCAGTTACCTGTAACTATCTTACTTGATCTTCCAAAAAGCTCTGCAAAATAGATATTAGCATTGTTCCCTTTTACAGGTAAGGAAACTACCGTATTTTGCTGTGTATAATGCGCACCCACGTTTCAGTGCTAATTCCCATGTATAACGTGCATCCTTATTTTTCCCTCAAAAATTTGGGCAAAAAAGTGCGCATTATATACGACGAAAATGGGGTAAGTCCCCAACAGGCTAGAAAGGCCTTGGAGCCAGAACAGACGCCCCCGTGAGCCTGACCCCGAGTTGCTTGTTTCCTTCACCAGGATGGTGCGGGGAGGCTGGTCAGAATAGCAGTGCCATCAGGTTCAAAGATGAGGGGGGAGGACTCAGTTGATCTCCGGCTGTGCCTGCGTCTAGTCTCCCCTCCCTCCCGCGCTGGGCCTCATCCTGGAGACAGACGGTCTGGTAAACAAGCAGTTGGCCCTAAATCCTGGCATGCCTGGCAATGTTGTGATTAAGGGGGCCATGAACACGGCTGAGTGGGGGATAGATCTAATTAGGCTCCTGGGCATGGAACCTTGAGGGGTAATGGTACGAGGAGGCAAGCTGCATCGGGTGCAGTGGGACCCTGAATGACAGCCTCCTCTGTCCCCAGACGCGCTGAATCAGGTATGTGCAGCAGGCAGACAGCATGGCATCGTCTGGGAAGGACAGTCTGGTCTATGAATTGAGCCGGTACTTGGGCATCCAGCCTCTGCCACAAGCCCTTTCCTCTGCCCCACCCAGAATTCCCTCAGGCTATTTCTATCAGAGAATCGTCAAAGAAGAATGTGCCTTAGTGAGGGATCACTCCAATGCCCTCTGTCCACACTGGGGATGCCAAGGCCCAGAGAGTGGCAGGGTCTTGCCCAAAGTCACACAGCAGGGCCGAAGCCAAGCGCTCCTGTTAAGTTTTCTGCTTTCCCACCACTGGAGACAAGCCCCTAAGACTGCCACCTTAATCTACTGTGACTTCCAAAAGCAGTTCACATACATTACCTCACCGAGTCTGCCCAACCCCCCTGGGGCCGGCACTGCTGCTTCACAAGTAAGGAAACTGAGGCTCAGAGATACGAAATCCCTGGCCTGATGCACGTAACACAGTGGGTTAGGGGAATCGCTGGGACAAAGCAGGATTCCTCATCCTTCAGCCCTGGATGCCTTTCAGAGGTGTAGCCTCAGGGCCTTTGGGCCTGACGATGCCCAAAGTGACCACAGCCCATGGCTCCCATGCCCACACGGACCTGGGCTGGACTCGAGCCACCGAAAGTGCTCATCCCAGACACCGGCAACGAGTCTGTGCTCCTGCCTTTGAACAGAGATGGCCCTATTGCTGAGGCCTCTGGGCACCAATGTTCTGCATCCCCTCACAGAGCCTCTCACAGAGCCTCTCACTACTTGCCATGACCTATGTGCAGAAGGCAAGGCAACCCAGGCACATTGAACTTGGGTGTGCGCAAGAACGGTAGAGGTCCCTGTGTGTGTCAGGAACAGGGCTTGGTCTCAGCACTGGAGTCCGAGACCGGCGTGGAGCCCAACAGTGAAGTGCAGCTGAAGCAGGAAGAGGGGCCGGGTTCCAGGGCTGGGAGGGGCCAGGAAGGCGAGGGAGGACCCCCTCCTGCCTCCTGAGACTGACCCTGTGCCGTCCTCTGCCCCTGCTGAGCCCTCCTGGGAAGCTTTGCCGACTGCCAGCCCGGGGGTCTGGGGAAAGGTGGGCGTAAGAAGAACAGGAACGGACACTCCAAGTACCACAACGGGGCTCCCAGGGCTGGGGGAGGGCAGGTGCAGGCGGGTCCCCCTGGGAAATCCTCCTGGACTGTGGTGGGGATGCTCGGGTTCTGGGAGATGGCAGGGGCAGCAGGGCTATGGGAAAGGAGGCCAGCTCAGCCTCCTGGGATCGGGGTGGGGAGGGATGTGTCCTCGGAATGTATCATTGCTGCCAGACCCTCCCCACCAGGTATAAGCCTGTGGTGGCCAGGGCTGTGTCTCCCACATCCTCTGGGTCCCCTCAGGGCACAAGGGGGTACTGGACAGATTATTGTCAATACAGTACCTGCTCCTGTTCCACACAGGCCAGGAACCATTCTGAACACGGTTCCAGGGTCATCTGCAGAGGGCGAATGATCCCCGAGTCACTGAGGCTCAGAGCCCGTGAGTAAGCGACCCATGGAGGCCCAGCTGGGAGGGGCAGCCCTGGAGGGTCAGACCCCAGAAAGCGCACTGCTGCTAAGTCCCAGGGAACCTGCTGGCTGACAGCCTGTTAGACGATGGGCCCACAAGGCACAAGCAAGTGGTGAAGAGAAGGAACTGGCAGGCGTGAGTCCCAGGTCAAGTCCAGATCCTGAAAACTCGGGGACAGCCTGCCCTTCTCTGCGCCCCGAGCCCCGTGGCCGTTTCGCTCGGACAACTGCATCTCCAGGCCTCGGTGTGGGGCAGGAGCACGGCCCACCCTCCCGACAAACAAGCAAGCTCTCCGGGCCCCAAGCTGCAAGAGGCCCTTTGAAAAACTTAGTGATCCATCCCAAA